AACCGACCGAGTGGTGCCGTCCCTGCAGGGCACAGCATCGACCCGGGCTCGGCGGGGCTGCTGGGGCGCCGGGGGCCCCGCTCCAAGCAGCCCTTCATGGTGACGTTTTTCCGGGCGAGCCCCAGCCCCGCACGCGTTACGCGGGCGGCCAAGCCCCCGAGGAGGCGGCAGCCCAAGAAAACCAACGACCTCCCACATCCAAACAAGCTGCCGGGAATTTTTGGTAAGAACCCATGGGGTAAGAAGCGACCCTTGTCAAAAAAAATGGGCTCTGCTGTTGCCATGATCAAGGGATCCATTTTAGTACCTTGTCTTGCAAGGAATCCCGATTTTGGCCCAGAAACGCAGCCCGGGGAGCAGAGCGAAGAGCTCTGGGTTTTTAGGATTGGGGTTGTTTGCAGCTCGGGAGGTGCGGTGGGGCTGGGGCTGGCGCCGTCGAGGGGACAGGGTTTGGGGGGGTTTGGGGGGGTACCTGAATATTGGACTTTTTGCATCATTGCCCTTGGTTTGCATCATTGCCCCCACGCATCACCCCGGGAGGGTGTCACGGCCCCGGGAGGGTGTCACGGCCCCAGGAAGCCACTCAGGCGGGGGGGAGCGAGAAGCCCCAGCTCTCCCGAGCCCATTTAGCTTGGGAAACCCTCAAAGCCAACTCCGCCATGAGCAGAGCTGGGGTTTAGCCCTTCCCAGGCTGAGTCCCCTCATCCCAATGTTGGAGCAAGAAATTTCAGGCTGATCTAAAGCTGCTTTGCAGCTTCACGGAGGACTAACGCTGGACTAACCGCAGTTCTGTTCAATCCCACCCTTGAGCGGGGATGGCTGCGGGGGGGGGGGTGGTCGGGATGCTGGCACCACGGGGCAGATGCTGACTGTCCCCTTCTCCCGCAGACGATGTCCACGCCGCGGACGGGCGGCAGGTCTGCCGGCGCCACGAGCTCTACGTCAGCTTTCAGGACCTCGGCTGGCTGGTACTTGTCTACCGGGAGAATTAAATGCAAAAAACTCCATCGTCCTCCCCCTGGGGCTCCCTCTCAGCCCGGCTTCTCCTGCCCATGAAGCAATATCTGCACCGTGCGAGCAGTGCAGGGCAGCCGGGAGCTGCCACAGCCCCATGCCGGGAGCTGGGAAGGCAAACATGAACTGCCACAACCCCAAACCCCACTGGTGACCCCGAACAACTCATAGCTCAGTCCGAAAAATCAAAATAAACCCTTGCTGTTGGCACAGCCACCCAGGGAGGAGCCGGCTGGGTTGTTTTTGCAGGTGGGGAATGGATGAAGGGGTGCAGGAAGGGTGAAGCCCACAAGCGTAACCGGTGCAACCCCTTATTTTGCAGGACTGGGTGATCGCCCCGCAGGGGTACTCAGCCTACTACTGCGAGGGGGAGTGCGCCTTCCCCCTGGACTCCTGCATGAACGCCACCAACCACGCCATCCTGCAGTCCCTGGTCAGTGCAACCGCAAGGGCAGCGCCGGGGGGATGCTGGGGGCCCTGGGGGAGCGCTCGGAGCCCGGCGGGTCCCGACGGAGAGCTGGATTTGGGGCTGGGTACGCCTGGGCTTGGGAGCGTTTAGGTCGGAGGGTGCAGTTTAGCTCCAGCTCCCACAAAAGCGTGGGTGGGCGCATGCACATCCGGATGGGTGCTTCCCCGTCAGCTGGTGGGCAAGGGCATCGCGTCGCCTGTGCATCCTCCTCGCCAGCCGTGCATGAGGGTTTCGTCCGCGGTCCCACGAAGCACCGCCGTGGCTCAGTGCCCAAGCGTTGCACTCAGCATATTCGAAGCAGGGAGGCTTTAATGCCCCGTTTTTCCCAAACCCACCCTGCATCCCAGCCGGTGCTTTAATTTCTGGAATTTCCTGCCCTGTGAGTGTTTGATTTCCCAATGGCAGAGTCACACTGGCTCCGGTGATCGCGGTTAATTACAGGGAACACCGAGCCCTCGCTGGAGCCTTTGAAGGTGTTGCCTGGCGGGGTTTAATTTTTGCATTGACAAAGCTGCTAGAGGCCCCGTCCGGGGCTGAGCACGATGCTGGCAGCGGTGGGGAGGGGTCCCCTTCCCCCCTACGCCCACCCGTCACCCCTGAACCCAACACTCTTCCCAAACCGGAGCCGTTTGGGCAGGATGTGAATCACCTGGCGCCTGGATCCGGCTCTTCTGGGAAGCACCGGGGCAAATGCGGCCGCGGAGCCATGCCAGCCCCGGCCGGTGCTGCAAATAGCAGGGTTTGACAGCAAAAACACCAGACTTCCGAAGTAGGAGAGCTCGGCTGCCCCTGCAATAAATTAATCGCACATGTCGGGTAAAGCCGGCGAGGGCTGCGTGCGTCCAGCAGCCTGCGAACCTCCCAGCTTACATTTTACGGCGAATTGCTGGGATAATGCGTGTCCTGAGCAGGGGGTGGAGGAGCCGAAGGAGAGTTGTGCTCAGAAAGGCGTTGTGTACTTAAGATTTGAGTGCAGTGTGTTAAATTTGGGGCAGAACTGAGCCCTGACGGAGAATCTCTATTGCCACAGCATCCCGCACCCCCACCCACACAGGAGCGAGCCTTGCACTGCCCTATTTTTTTTTTTAGCCATTTGCCTATTTACAGTGAGAAAAGGGCCCAGAAATCCCAAATTAACGAAGGGGCTGCCTGGCCCATGCAGTGCCACGAGCCCCGATCCAATATAAACTCCAGCAAGGACTGCCCAGAGTTTAGAATAAATATTTTTGCAAAAAGCTGGAAATAATCTCCCCATTCACCCAGGCTTTTTGCAGTTAAGAGCTGGTTTGATGCTTTTTCTTCTGCCCGGAGCCGCGTTCGCCGGCGCTGATGGGCTCCATCCATCCCCCAGGTCCACCTGATGAAGCCCGAGGCCGTGCCCAAGGCGTGCTGTGCCCCCACCAAGCTCAGCGCCACCTCCGTCCTCTACTACGACAGCAACAACAACGTCATCCTCAAGAAGCACCGCAACATGGTGGTGAAATCCTGCGGCTGCCACTGAGGGCCGGGTCCCACCCCGGCCGCGCCAGAGCCACGCGACGCTGGGTTTCTGCTGCGCGTGCGGACGAGGAGCTTCGTGGGCTGCATCACAGCAAAGTCCATTAAAAACAATACATAATAAAAAGAAATCCCTCCCACCCCTTCCTGGAAGTGGATGTAAATAATATAAAACTTTTATTCTCTTACTACGCTTAACGGGACCCATACGTATATATACATATCTATACAGGAAAGAGGATTGGTGGCTGGTTACGCGGCCGTTTTGTTCGTGGCCGTGGTGTTTCCCCCCGCGCTGGCGGCTCGCAGGCTGCTGCGGTCTCTGGTGGTCGCAGAGGCGCTTCGGGCTGCGGGGCAAGCGGGGCAAGGCAGGCGGCACCCGCGCCGCTCTGGGACGGAGCTGTTTCTAGCCCTGTACGTCTCACTCACCTCTAACCAACGCTTTTAATTCCCTTAATGAAAACACCGTCAGCCAATTAAGTAGCTGGCTGACTAACCCGCTCCTGTTTACTTAAAGTTCACGAAACTCAGCCAGTTGGAAAAAAAATAAAATATCCGTATTGAGCTATGACACTGTTATAAAATAAACGCCTAGTTTGGAAAGTAAACACGTAGTTTCTCTTGCTGTTTGTTTTTTAATAAATGTCACAGCACAGCAGCGCTCTGTTCGGCAGACGGGATTTCGCAATGAAAAAAAATACCCTGGATTGGCTAAAATTGGACCTGTTTGCTTGAAAATAAGCCCCGCCAAAGCGTTGTGATGTGAGGTTTAGGTCAGGTTTAGGTGTCTCCCCGGCCGGGAGAGCGGCGGCGCTCACCGGTGGGTGTTTCCCGTGGGCTCACAGCACTGGGCAGCTTCCCCGTGCTATTTGCACAATTAAGTTATTTATTTGCTCTGATTTTAAAAGGGAAGGGCCTGGCTCGTTCCTCGGCTTGGGCACCCCGGGAGCCCTGCGTCACTGAACAAATAACGAACCTGGCTTAGCCAAATGCAAAGAAAAAAATCCTAATAAACCCACCCAAATAAGACAGATCTGCCAATGCCCCGCTTCCCGAAAAAAGGTCTCTCCTCTTTGGAAAGATTTCCTCTGCCGCCCGATTCTCCATGAAACCCAGCTCAGGCTGAGACGGCGGCTCCGTGCAATGCGGTGCCTTCTGCAGGGCAGAGAGCCCCGGGCTTCCATCGGCTCCCTCCGTCAGGCCAGGGCCCCCCCTGCTCCAGGGGTCGCTGACGATTTCTGCATGGTTTGTCTTCAAAAATTTGAGATTTAAACACCAAAAAGAAAGGAGCAAGGAAGGGAAATGCTGGGCTGGTTCATCCGTTTGTCGGGTATCACCTCTGAGTGCCCATCTCTCGCCTTGTCCCAGCTGTAGGGCAACGCACGACCCCCAAGCAGTGTGGAAAACCAGCAAGTGAATAAAAGCAACCCAGTGTTTATTACGGAAAAGCAACAGCCCTGATCTGTGAGCGGCCGGACTGGTGAAACCACAAATCCCCAATCACACAAGCTTTTAAAAGCCTCCCCTAAGCCCCAGCCCCGCACACCTGACCCTCATCGCCGCCCGGCAGCCCCATCCCTCCTGCGAACGCCTGCGCAAGCTCAGAACCGCACAGCCCTTCCTCCCCGCGCCCGTTCCCAGAAGCACCCAGTGCCGTCATTTCATAGGAAACCCCAAATCAATCACTTTCCAACGACGCGGTTCCCTTTATGGTGCACGGCCAGAGCTACCCACTGATGGGAACCATAAATGTACGTGGCTATCCCGCTCTGCAAACCAGAGTCTGGAAATTAAACCCCTTCCTACAGCCTCATCACTTCTTTTTTTGTTCTCTGTCACCCAAGGAGCTGCTTCGTTTCCTGGTACTCCTTGTCCAGACCTTGTTCTCCCACTTCAACACCCCAGGAACTGCCCTCCCTCTCGGATGGAGATGGAGTTGGAGCAGGCTCGCTTCCCCGCAGGACGGCCGCCAGCCAGGGGCCTGCCTCCCTCTGCTGATGGGAAATGAGACTACAGAGCCAGGGACATGCCAAAAACACCTCCACGAGACCCTGCTGCGGAAAAAGCATGAGATTCGGCTCTGCTCTTCCTGCCCCGGCGCGGGTAGCTTCCCCTGGAGCCAGGATTTAGGCATCAGATTTGAGAAGATGAGGGCAAACGCAAAAAAAAGCACCTTTGCTCAAAAGCAAAGACCGTCTTCACCCGGTGAGAACTCAACAGCCAGGGGTAGGTCCTCAGTATTTTTAAAACTAGGTTTTATTTCTACCTAATATAAAGTCTTGCCGGAACACAGCAGCAGAACCGGCCCTGCCCCGCTCGGGGCAGCGCAGGGCGGCGCAGGCTGAAGCGATTTCTCCTCGGGTGGGTCGGCCCCCCGCAGCGCTGTCCGCAGGCACGTTCACACCAAGCTTGGCGGGGGAATTTCGACAGAAGCCGCGGGAGCTGGGCGCTGCTGGGGCGTCGCGGGGCTGTCCCACCCCAGCCGGCTCCCCGGGCCCTCCTGGCCAGGCTCACCCCAGCCGGCCCCCTCCAAGAGCCGAGCTCACGGGCACTCCCCGCAGTCCGAGATGATCACCTTCTGCTTCGGTTTCCCATCCTTGGTGCCCTGAGCCTTTGAGAAAAGGGCAGCAGCAATTAAAGGCACGAAGTCGAAGGGCAGGAAGGTCGGCTCTGCCCTGACCGTCCTGCTGCCAGCACCTACCTCGATCTGCCGCACCACGTCCATGCCCTCCGTCACCTCCCCGAACACCACGTGCTTCCCGTCCAGCCAGTCTGTTTTATCGCAAGTGATGAAAAACTGGGAGCCGTTGGTGTTTGGACCAGAGTTTGCCATCGATAACAGCCCTGTGACCAAAAAGTGCAGTGTTATGGCTGGGGAGGGAGCGATGAGCTCCACACTGAGCCGCTACTTCAACCCAAACCCATTCCCACGCCCTGCAAAACGCTGCCAGTTTTAGGAGAGCCTCTGAATATGAAACTCCACAGAAACTACTGGAAACCAGTTACATTGAGAGAGAAACACTTGCAAGCATGAAAGATGGAAAGTGGTGGAGACTGCTCATCTATTTTTAGTTGCAGTAACAGAAAAGCTGTTTGTATGGAGATAAACCTGCTTGCTTTTTGCTGCTTTTCGTAGTCACACTGCAACATTCCTCCTCTAAAATCAAAGCGGAAAGCAGCTTTGAAACTCTTTCTCCGCTGTGTAATACTGGACACTAACAGCGCGTGGATGGAGAGCAAACAATGCGTTTCTGCTTGCTGAATGCCGGCGATACACGACAGCCTGACCGCAGCAGAAGCATTCGGCCAGTGTAGATTATAATTCAGGGCTGCTACTATCAACACGGTCTAGGTCAAAACAGCCAAGCGTGGCCCCTAGATGATGTTAAGCCATTTTGCTCTCCAGCCCCTGCCTGGGGAGACGGCCCTACCTGGTCCCGTGTGTTTGAGAATGAAGTTTTCATCATCAAACTTCTTCCCGTAGATGGATTTGCCGCCGGTGCCGTTGTGGTTGGTGAAGTCGCCGGCCTGGCACATGAACTGGGGGATGATGCGGTGGAAGCTGCTCCCTTTGAAGCCGAAGCCTTTCTCGTGGGTGCAGAGGCAGCGGAAATTCTCTGTTTGGGGGCAAGGCGGAGAGAGGTGAGAGCTGCATCGCAGCTGGAAGCCACCACGCTGGGGAGGCTGACCCTCTCCTCACCTACGGTCATGGGCACCACATCTGAGCGCAGGAGGATCTGCAGCCGCCCCGCGGGTTTGTTTCCGATCTTGATGTCCATGTAAACCTGAGGGTTGACCCGGGATTTCTTGGCAGGAGGCTCGCCCTGGGCAGGAAAAGAAAAAAACCAAGCTGAGATGACATTCCTCTGCTCTGCCACCACAGACGGCTGGCCCCACGCTCTCAGTCTTTGGGACAGCAAGGATACAGATGGTTCCGGTTGTTTTTCCTACCTCCTGCACCTCTGGTTTGGGGGCCTCTGCTCCTGTCTCCTCTGTGTTCTCCTCCAGAGTCTTCCCCGAAAACTTCTTCAGCCAGTCATCGTCTGACCAAACTGCGATGGCAAAAGGGAGGGTTAGAGCACAGGAACCGAACCAAAGAGCCAGGCGTGAGCACGCAGCGGCTGCACGGGTCAGGGTGCAGCATGGTGCTGGCGGCAGGATGGCAGCCGAAGCGTGGGAGCACTCGGCTGGCAGCAGCCTACCCCAAAAGACAGAGTGTGCGGGGGAAATAATGGACAAAGTCATCCCTTCCTCCTCCACACATCACCAGGCAGGGCAAGCTCTGTTCCCTGCAACGACCCCCATGCAGAGCAATTGCTCGGGACGACCTTGGCCCCATCCACTTTTACAGATGTGGCCAGACATGTGGGTAATTCTGCCTGCCACGTGTGTGCGTGCTGTGCCCTCTGTCAGAGGGCACAAAGGCAAAGGTAAGTGCAGCCAGGAGTATTTCCATCCAAGGAACTGGGAGATATTTTTGGTTACTAGGTTATTTGGTTATCAGGATGCTGCTCAGATCCCCAAGATCCCAAATGTGAGGCAGAGTGCAGGTCTCTGCCTCAGGGTCTGGGGAACCAGAGAGAAAGGCTGATGCACAAAGCTCTGAACATCCACGGGGATGCTCTCCCCTCCCGGGCACCGACTCACCAGGCCTGGATGATCCCTCCTTAATTCGCATTGGTTTGGCCAAGTTCACACGAATTGTCCTGCCAAAGAGCTCAGACTCATTCTGCAGAGGAAAAAAAGCAGAACAAAGCCCACCAAAAGGTAAAAAAAATCACCGTGCCCCCCAAATCCCTGCAGAGGTCAGAGGAAAACAGAGCCGACGCCACACAGGGCCTCGCTCTGTGCTACCGGGAAGACGGCAAAGCCACGCGTCTCCGCAGGCCAGTGGGAACAGGGTCCGTACCATGTTGTCAATAGCTGCCGCTGCATCCTGCCAAAATGTGAAAGAAAATCATTATTATCATTTCTTCTCTCTCTACCTTTAAAAACAAGGCTCAGCATACATATCCCCCAGCATTTCATTGCAATAAAGATGGCCAAAGGACTCTTTTCCTAAACCTCATCTACCCCAGGGCTGTAAGAACTGATGGATCTTGCAAGAGCCGTATCCAAACCAGCACCTGGGGTTCACCTTCCCACAACCAACCCAGTAAACCCATTTTACGTATGGTGCTTCATCGCTTACACCAGTATTTGAGCAAGGAGGAGAGATCCCGTGTATAAAGCCCAGGACGGATTGTAAGATGGCAAATATACGACTGCCCACGAAGCCAAGAAACCCGCTGCTGCTGAGCTCCCGGGACAGCAGGAGAGCCGTTCGGGCCGGCGGCGGCCGTGCTTCAGCCCCAAAGAAAATGGGAAAAGCGGGAATTTGGAAAGGCAGAACGGCAGCTCCTCCTGCTTGAGGGCAATCCGAGGCTGTGGCTGGTGACCCCCGCCTGCTTCCATCACCTGCGGGGAACCCACAACCCAACGGGAAGAGGATCCAGCCCAGAAACACCGGGGGAGGAAGAGGAGGGCCCGAGTATTTGCCCCTTTCTCACCTCCGCCAGCTCAAATTCAATGAAGGCGAATCCCCGGTGCTTTTCTGGAGAGAGAAGCAAGCGGTCACGGGCAGCGAAGCCACACCGGGCCCAGGGCCACCGGGCCCCGTCCCCCCGGCAGAGCCCCGCGGCCGGGCCCCTCCACGCACCGGTCTCGTAGTCCAGCGGGATCTGGATGTCGGTGATGTCCCCGAAGGGGATGAAGGCGGCGTGCAGCACCTTCTCGTCCACCTCCTCCGCCAGCCCGCCTGCGGGGCGGACAGCGGTCACCGCCTGCGGAGCCCGGCCCCGCCGGGGGCAGCCCCCGGCCCCGCCACTCACCCACGTACAGCACCCGCCTGGGCGCCGCGCTT